AATCGTTTCACTTTTGAGGTTAGCCGATGCAAAAGTGTTAAAATAGCTTTTTTTATGAAACAATAGGTTACCTTGCACATCATGCCTTTTAAAGAATAAAAAAGTTAGCTATTAGTAGAAAATATGTGAGGCGTCAAATTGCAAAACTTGCCTTATATGACATATATTAATAGTGGACCCTGAAATCTACATAAACATAGTCTCAATTGCAGCAAAAGTTGCCTATTTCTATATAAAAATCACTACAAATTACATTACTGCGGCAAAATCGGTCTTATCCACATATTATATTTGCTTTTTATTGTTATTATTGTACCAAATCCCGCATTTTTTCATAGACTTTTTACACAAGTATAATATTACTACTGAGGTCTTATCTATTTCAAATCCTTACTTAATTTTAATAAAATAGCTATCTAATAAATCAAGTTAGGATGCAAATATCTTGTTTAGTTTAGTTTAGTTTATTAATTCCTTTTAATATAAATACATGGTACTTAGATTATAGGATCGTCGATAAATATATATACAGAAAACAACAATTTTTGACAGAAAATCATACAAATACAAATATAAAACAACTATACATGTTTTTATACACAAACAAAAACAATTGTAAAGAAGAATCATTATTATATATGTGCTGACAAGCCTGGAATTTCCGGCTCCCGGAAGAATTCGTCTAGAGTGTAATAGCTCCTTGATATAAAAAAAATTTCTTTAAATTAAACTTATTTTTTTGTTTAGGTTTAGAGAGTTAAACTCTACGGACACTCTTCTCATTTTGTTTAAACACTTTCTCCCAAATATTGATGGGTTGTGTTGCCCCATAGTAAGGCGCGTATATGGGATATCAAATTCATCTTTGTAGCGGGTGTTGTGACTGTGAACTTCCCGCCGTCGGGATAATTCTTCCTCATTCTTAATTGTAAATACAATAATTGAATATAAGTACAAAGAATATAAAGTCATAATATTTAGCGATTGAAAACATGGCCTGCATGAGTCTTTCTGACCCCTCCCAGCCATGATTCTTACTATTTTCTTTTGGGCCACAAAAACCGAACCCACTTCACCGGAGTGTGTTTTGCTGTAGCAAAACCCGCAATATCTATGCCTCATACTGCACCAAAACCCTCCTTATCCGAATTATTTTTGTGTTTTCCCTCTTTAAAAATTAGATATTAATTTTTATTTCTAGAAAAACGAGATACAAAACAATGATTCCACTCAATGGACACGTTTTTTTGTAAAATAACGCTTCAAACATTTGCTAAAAGAGTTTTTGCGTATTATCTCGAAACAACGTTTTTGGGGATAAGACAGGTTTTGCAATTTTGTGCGTCATGTATTTTCTCTGGCACTTCAATTTGCAACAAAAGAGGGCATATTTAAAGACAAATAAAACAATACATTTAAAATGGTTTTCAAAGTATACATTAGGGGGGGTCAAAATAATTTTTTTAAGTTTTTTGAACTAAAAAAACTACTATTACATAAAACAGGTGATACAATACTTCAAAATTAATTTTAACATAATATCAAAACCGAAAAATCAAACTGCAAACACAACCACACTTATCATAACAGAAATTAACACACACTTCCACGGCAAATGTCCAAAAAAGACTGATCATTCTGATTGGTCCTGGTCCGGTCGTAGCTCACGTCGTATTGTCGGTAAGCAAAATCCCTGTCCAAAAATCTTGACGATCAGCGCCATCACCCGTCATAATTGGGAAACTTTTGCTGGAACCATTTTGAATATTTCACTTACATGGCCCTGTGCGCGCCTTCATTGAAAGTAACACAAACAATATTTTTCTTTGGTCGATGCGGCGCGTGCGGCTCTGGTCAGTGTGCGCATACCTTTATGCCCCGTTGCCCATTGTAGTAGTTACACCAAATAATAATAAATGGCATTATTTTGTCCATCTGCGCTCTATTGGTTAATTCAGTTTTGTAAACAAGAATTGATTTCAAACTATTTATGCAACAAAGTCTAAGAAAAAATATGAAGTATAATTTTAAATAACCCAAGTTAGCAAGATAAAACACTGATTTGCCACAATACACCAAAATACTTTACTTCTAAAACTGTCACTTGTTAAAGTAAAGTGTTTTGGTGTGTAGTGGTAAATTAGTGGTTTTATTTTGCCGTTTTAGTACCAAAGGTTCCAACCCCCAACTCTAACCCAAGTTAGTTAGTTTGTGAAATTTATGAGAAATATCTGTAGCACCAAAAAGATGAAAACATTTCTATAAAAGTAAAAATAATTGTAAAAAATTGAGATAGAAGTACATTCAACAATTATTTTCACTCGGATTGTGTAAAAATAGAAAACATGTTGTATTGTTTACATTGTCTGTTGGTCTTTGACCCGACCATCTTCTCATTAATGTGTTTTATTCTTTTTTTTTATGACACTAAACTAAATAATTACATGAAAGTAAGAAATTTTTATTTTTAATAAATAAAAGAAGGGTAACTATCATTATTTAAAAATAAAGCAATAGTAATCAAAAGTAATAATGATAAAATTTAACGTTTTATCATTTATTAGAATTAATATAACATAATATAAGAATATAATTAGAAGTTTGCCTAATTTTTATGGAAACATATTTTGGTATATCATTTGGTATATGTTTTTGTAAATAACTATTTTATATTAAATACTAGCGTGTACCCGCGACTTCGTTCGCGTCGAATAATTATTTGTAATGGCGATGATAAAGCAAAGCAAGAACTGGATAAAATTTTCTCACATTTATGTCAGCATGAGAAAAAACAATATGGCGATATTATTAAATAACTTGGTAATATTTGAGGGGTAGTTTCATCTCGTTGAAGCGCTTTAAGCGGGATCGTGATTAATCAATGACCAGATTTTTCGAAACACCCTGTATACATTTTTAAAAAATCTTAAAATATGTAAAAAAACAAAATAAAATATACGTGTTTAAGCGTTTTTTCGGAAACTTGACCGTTTTTTAAACAAAAAATAATGTAATATTTGAGGGGTGGTTTCACCCCCTTAGAACTGGAATTTCGAAAAATCATCTGTATGTCAAAATTGAGCTTCTTACGTTGAGTGGTTTGAGCAGGATCGTGATTAATCAGTATTTTCTCTTTATAGATTTTCAAATAAGTCCAAAATAACCGAATTATTTTACTATGAAAATGAATAAAAAAATGATTTTTCTATTTAAATTTTGAGAACCACTTAAGGATTTTATATAGTATAGATTATGCATTATGCTAAAAAAATACTTGAAATTAAAATTTTGATATAAATCTGTCAAACCAAACCAAACCAAACTCTTTTACTCGTTGTCAAGTTCAGATAATAATTTTAAAAACGCAATATAATTAAAAATTAATTACAGTACTTAACTATTAAAAATAATTTTATTTATGAGAAAGCAACATGTGTATATAAGCAATAAATACAAATTACAAATTTATATTTACGGAAATAATTTTCCCATGAATATGGATAACATTCTAATCTATTTTCGAATTCTTTTTTAAAAATAGTAAAATGGTTAAAATATACAGTAAACATAAGTAACTATTAACTAATATAATATTTATGCATAATAAAAAAAAGTAGTAAATAATTAAAAGTAGTTCAAGATAAAAACTGTAAATGATAACACCTTAATATTATTTTGTTTACCCCTCATTAAGATAATTAATAACTGCAGAAAAAAATTTAAATAAAAATTAAAGATTTCTTTTTCCGGAAGTTGTTAATCTTAGATTTTTAACAAATCATAACAATAACACCCCGCAACCTTATTTTGTTTTTATCATAATGAAAATAAATCACATTACTGTCACTTTAAAAGGGAGAGATTCTCTTTAAAAGGATTATTTAAAATCAGACATAATTAAATAGTAGCATATGAAATATTTAGATATATGTGAAATAATATATTTAAAAAAATGCTAATTGTAATACTTTAAATTCATGTAACTCCATAAATCTAAGATTATCAAAACAATGCCAAATAAAAATATTTAATACAAAATTTATCTGGTAATGAATTCTATACAGGGTCAGTCTTAAACAATTGCAAACTTTTTCAGGGCTGTTATATCCCTATAAAAGAAACATATTTTCTCTTTATAGATTTTCAAATAAGTCCAAAATAACCGAATAATTTACTTAGAAAATTAAAAAAAATATGATTTTTCCATTTAAATTTTGACAACCACTGGATTTTTTCTCGGTTTTCTTTCTTGTAAATTTAAGCTACTACCTTGTAGTCATTTATCAAAATATTATGTATTTTAACTAAAAATTTAAAAAAAATTCCATTTTTTTTTCAAAAACTTCTAAATTTTCTTCAAAAAAATCCAAATTTTCATTTTTATTTCGCGTAAAAAACCTTATAGACGTGTTTCTGAAGTCGAAATATACTCCCCCTAAACATATTTACACTTATTTAATATTCACCCTGTATAATCAAGAGAAATTTTAATATTATTTGGTTTAATAATAATTGTTTTATTTTTCAGTTTCTTATTAATTAATTATTGTTTAATTTAATTTTAATTGATTTAAGTATAAAAACTCAAAATATAAAAAATATAGATGTATATGCTATGCAAATTCCAGATACAAAGTTATCAAAAAGTTTCACGATCAAGCATATTTTGTATGATAGTATGATGTATACAATTTTTAATGGAATTAATATTAGAACTCTGTAGACTGTCAAAAGTCAAAGCTCGTTTGATCATAAAACTTTTCTTTAACATTCGGTATCTGTTTACGGAAATAATTAAATCACAAATATACATTATTATAAATCAAAAACAATAATTACTCTTGAGCGTTATTTTGCTTTCTCCCTAACGAAAACAACTTATTATATTTTGGCTCTAATCCACTAGTTTCCATACTCACCCCCTGCCGAATCCTCACAAAGCCCGAAACGATCGCGCGCACTGCGTTACTTCTGCGCCCTTATCTCGTCACTACACTTACCTTTTGATCGAACTGCGAGTTCGGTCGGTCAGCGAGTACCAGAAAAAACTGCGAGCCCGCAGTACCATCCTCCGTTTATAGCCGGCCTACATCCCCACAACCAGCGGTGGCCTAGATCTGACACCTGCCGCCGCACAGTGAAGCCCCAGGTGGGTCCCCCTTCTCGGACGAGGCTCCCCGCGGCCGGTGATGCCGTCCCGCAATTGAGTCCGTCACATAATCGACCTGTGGCAAGTAAGGACTGCATTGCCGGTTGATAGATTTACCCGGTAAAATGTTACCGGTAAATCTTCTCAATATACGAGGATTGTCTTTTATATTTTGCGTAAGAGAAGCGTAGTAGACGCCTGTCAACATATGTTGATAATTTTGACAATCGACTGGTCAGGGGAAAAATGTAGGTAAGTCAATTTTTTTGCTATATTTAAATATTCGGTGCATTCGTTTCAGAGTAGTGATGGGCAAAACTGTTATTTTTAGATAACAGTTAAAACTGTTATAGTTATTTATAAAAAACAGCTTAAAATAACAGCTTAAAAATAACAGGTTTCTTTATTTTACTGCTAAATATCTGAAAGAGTATGAGGCGGTCACCGCCAGGCGTATTAACGCAGTTGCAAGTTGCAACAGTGACGTGCTCGGTGGTAGTATTTCCAGGGTGTCAAAACATTTCTAAATATCGATTGTTATCTAAAATACCTCTCTAAAAAACGGTGGTTGTTTACAAATAAGCGCTGTTTACAAATTGCGATATAAAAAAAGCCAAAATCCCGCCACTCGTCTATACCTATACATTCCGATCTACCTACGCCCTGCCCCTCGATCCGGGTAGATCCTGAATTGCGTAGCAGTGTACAGGGTGCATCTCACTCGACGGGCGAGAAGCTCTTAGTTATGATTTTACCATTGGCGGTCAAAAAATAGCAATATAAGAAATGTGTAGTATATTCTTCATAAGTAAACCAACTACACACTAGAGTTCGAATTAATTTTACACTTAAACTAGCGTGTACCCGCGACTTCGTTCGCGTCGAATTAATAATTTCTAATGGTGATGATAAAGCAAAACAAGAATTTCCATTAACATACAAACTGGATAAAATTTTCTCACATTTGCCAAAAATAAGCTTTCTAACGTCGAGCAGTTTAAGCAGAATCGTGGTTAATCAATTACTCAACTTTTTAGAACACCCTGTATGATTTTTAAAAAAAAAATCAAAATACCTATGTAAAAAAAACAAAATAAATTATGCGTATCCAGGCGTTTTCCCGAAAGACTAACCGTTTTTTAAATAACAAATATTATAATATTATAGGGGCGTTTTCACCCTGTTGGAATTTGAGATTCGATTGAGTACCCCTCCTTATCGAACCTAAACCCCACAGTCAATCCGTTTGCCAAAAATCAGCTTTAAACGTCAATCAGTTTAAGCAGAATAGTGATTACTCAATGGTCATATTTTATGAAACACCCTGTATATATTTTTAAAAAATCTTAAAATATGTAAAACAACATAATAAAATATACGTGCTTTAAGAGTTTTTCCGAAAAACTCATCGGTTTTTAAATAAAAAATATTCTAATATTTGAGAGTAGTTTCACCCCCTTAGAATTCGAGTTTCGAAAAATCCCTTCTTATCGAACCTTTACACACTAAAGTCAATCCGTTTTCCAAAAGTCAGCTTTTTACGTCAAGGGCTTTAAGCAGGATCGTGATTAATCAATGACCAGATTTTTCAAAACACCCTGTATACATTTTTAAAAATCTTAAAATATTATTCCTAAATAAATACCTAAATTTTGAAACTTAATAAGTAAGTACTGAAACATACAGCGCCATAATATCTCGACCTCCGTCCGTTATGCTCGTAACAGGTTGAAACAGAATGTATCTAAAACAACTGATGGCGTTATTCCCCAACCTGTTTCAAACCTCCATCACTCCGATTATCTTAACCGCCGCCCTGTTATGCTCATAACAGGTTGAAAAACAACATATCTAAAATGACTGCTTCTCCAACCCGTTGCGAGCCTCCATCGACAATCGACCGATGCAGCAGCGTTTCTTTCCCACTCCTGTTATCTCGACCGCCAGGCGTTATGCCCGCAACTGTTTCAAAAAACCTGCTTCTTTTATATCCTATTATTTTTAAGCTGTTGCAAACCCAATACGACCATCGACGGTTTCGACCGAAGCAGCTACGTTCGCCGTAGCGCTTTCCCCACTCCGTTGTCCGTTGTCTCGCCGCCTGTATCGATGGTTGATGAAATAACATGTTTTCCATCCATACTAGTTGTTTTTTGGAATTGCTTCGAGCAGCATAGAATTTCATGGTGGTGTAGAGCGGCGACTTCGTTTTTCGTTTCACGAGCGGCCGATCTCTACGTGTCGTTATTTTATATCTGTTATTTTTTAGAAGTAGTAACAGTTGCGTTATGTTATTTATAAATAATTGTTATAAAATAACAGATAGTTAAATAACAACCCATCACTATTTCAGAGTGAGTGTAAGGATCTTTAGAAACCGCTAAACTAGGAAAACAGAGCCTAGTCAGAAGATATAACGGGAGCGTCTCAAAAGTTACTCACCCCTATACCTGTTCCGAGATTTGGTATGTCAGTATACGACATAAATTAGGATTTATTGACGTATTCAATTGTTTTCGGTCACTTCCCGTTTCACAGGAAATGACTACAACTTTTGATTTTTAAATGGCACCCTCGGCATTTTGTTACTTTATTTGATAGAAAATGACACCCCGAATAGAATGACATATTATATGTCAATTTTTAGCATTTTCGAATATTGTTTATTTGAAATTGTAATAAGCGATTCATAATGACAATTTGACTCGAAATACCAAGTGTGTGGTATCAAATTATTCGTAAAAAATGCTTTCTCCAAATATAGGTAATGAGCCACCCTCGTTCCATTTAAAACACTGAAATATGATTAAAAATTAATAAGATTTTGGCATTTTTCAAATTAGCCAGGATAAGACACTAAAAACATTAGACGATCAAATCTACTTTCCCAAGGCTCCTTGACTAAAAATTAGTGTTTTTACACAATCATGGCACCCTAGATGGAAATTTAAAATACAATTTTGTTTTAAGCGGAAATGCCAAAAGTTGACATCTGATACGTCATTCTCTTCACGGTGTCATTTTCTACCAAATAAAGTAAAAAAAATACCGTTAAAAATTAAAAGTTGTAATCATTTCCGGTGAATCAGGAAGTGGGCGAAAAGGATTGAATACGTCAATGAATCCTAATTTATGTCATGTACTAACATACCAAATCTCGTTTTTTTATATGAAAAAAATAAAAAAGTTATAGGGGTGAGTCCTCGGGTGAGCCACTTTTGAGACGCACCAGGTATGTCGTCAAAGTTATACTATTAAAGAAAAAAGCAGGCAAGTCATGCTTTGCTAAAAGAGAAAAGGTCCAGATTTGTTGAACAGAAAGCAATTAGAGTCAATTGCTGTCAAAAAACTTTACACCGGTTTGGTTTGGTTTGGCAATTTTGAAGACACCAACAAACGAGTGGAATAACTGCTTTTAGAATCGGTTCCAACAAATGCAACACTCCAACACTGCATTTCTATAATACTTCGGAAAACAATAGTGTTTAAAAGTTATCTACTGTTTTTTTCTACGTCTATATGCAAAATATAAAAGACAACCCTCGTACTAGTAATTTCGGTAATCGTTACAAAATAAATATACACTAGGTTAAAGCCCAATAGTCAAGTTCATAGTAAAGACTACTAGCGTTTATTTTCTTTAAATTATTAATAATTAATTTTGTCTCTTGAATAAGTTTGTAGAAAAATATCATGAAAGACGATGCTTATGGGATACAAGGGCTGCTGTTTATAAAAAAAACAACTCGGGACACAGGACAGAAATTGAGGAGATCATGGGTATTGAAGGATTCGGAGTTCATGAAATTAAAAACAAAATATACGGGCATTGAGGTCAACTTATTGTTAAGAAAAAAAAAGAAAATAAAGAATTGTATGAAATCTTAAGCAAATTCGAAGGATATTTCTGTACCTTAAAATCCCATATTATTTATGGGGTTTTCAACGGTAAAATACCAGACAAAGATTATGTTAGATGGCTTTGATAAAAAAATTTCTGCTGGAAGGGCCATATGCACTATAATACCGCAAATATCTGCAAAACCGCTAAAAATTTAGGAACAATGTTCGCCTTTTAATTATGTATCTAAAAGAGTAAAAAAATACCGAGGGAGCCCTTTAAAAATCAGAAGTTGTAGTAATTTCCGGTGAAACAGGAAGTGACCAAAAACAATTGAATACGCCAATCAATCCTAATTTATGTCATATATTAACGTACCAAATCTCGTTTTTTTATCTGAAAAAATAAAAAAGTTATAGGAGTGAGCCACTTTTAAGACGCACCCGGTATATATCTGAATCTCTACGATCTGAATAAAAGTGAGAAGAAAGTTGCAACACCTAGATTTTTCATATGGGATGGGCTGTATTTTTTCTCATTTTGATATATTGAATCATAAGACCGCTTAGGAAAATACATATCTAAGAATATTTATATTTTACTTTTTTATTTCAATAGCGGTTTAATAGAATTTATTATTGCTTCCGGACCAAGAAAACAAAAAACTTACTTACTGTCATTACTCGCTGACGAGTATTTCACACGCATCAGAAGATGGTTACGCAAGGCTTTTTCTTTGGCTGTACTTAAACTGCCGTTAAACGGTAGCTTACTAAAATGCCGTTAACAGGTATGACGTCGTTGATCTGACGCACTTGACGGCTTTATGAAATATAGGAATTTTATAAGGACTAACCAACGCTATCCACCCCACCAAATAACCAACTTAACCAACGCAACTAACCTCGACACTGATAAAAAATATAGAAAACAAATATAAATTAGTAAAAATCAACCAACCCCACCAAATAACCAACTAACCAATGAATTAACACCCTCCAAATAACCACGCTAACCAACCCGCCAAATAACTAAACCAATCCAACTAAAAAGAGTGAAACCAATGCAATAAGATCACGCTATAAGCAAAAAAAATATAAAAAAGTGTTGGT